CCAGGGAAAGTGTAAGGTCTAGGTAGGCACAGGTCAACGACATTGACTATAGTGTCCGGATGTTCGTCCTTCCTCGTGACCAGCCGTTGCAGTGGCAGAAGAAGGGAGAGAGTGTAACTTGTCCATTTCAATTCATCTTGTCGTGCTCTTGTGAGAATTATGAAGGGACCCACCAGCCCGTCTTCGCTGCCCCCATCTTCAACTGCTACTTCTTCAACTCCGTGCCCCCAGTATACAGGAACACGAACCAGAAGACGAGAATCAGAACAGTTACTATTATAAAACATCAGCGAGGTGCTCATTCTCTCGCCAGGTCCTCTGAAATTCATGGTCTCTGAAGTTATACCTTGATGAACAACCGCGAGGGACTCCCACGGGTCCAGGCAGTGTGGTAGTCAGACCAATGCGGTCATCGAAAAGAGAACTCTGGGTACACGCGCACACGGACCATTGAGGCGCCAAGGCGTCTCTGCAGGTCTTTCTTGTTCGTATTATTGATGAAGCGGGCACCTCAACCCTCCCATTCTGGCTCTATTACGCCGACCCTCATTTCTCATCAAGGATGGGGAAGGAAGTGGTAAGCAAGAGGGACGTGAATCATCAGAAGAGCGATGGCACCGGACAACAGGGCAAAAGAGGAACGCGTAGCTTAACGCCCCTGATTCTTTCTCCGTTAGATGTCCTATTTTCAAGATCCGGAGTAGAAAGAAAACATCTGGTGTAAGTCTCGAATGTCCGTTAGAATGACTGCCTTTGACCGGCATAGAACGGAGACGCGTGATACGGGGGTCGGTCGTATCGTCTCAAAAACAAATCGGAAAAAGAAACTCAACCTGAGGACTGAATCTCTCAGTTCAAATGCTGTGATTCGAACTCGTAGCCTGTCATTGAGTAGGCTGTCTGTGTATTCATGTGATTGTTCCTTGTTGTTGGAGCTTTGCTCACGCCATCACCCAGTTAGTCAGACAGGCGCCTTCTGGCTGGCAACAGGAACATGGCTGAGGGGATCTAGACGACTTGGACTTCTTTCTAATCATAAGGCAGGAATTTGATTTCCTTCTCACATACCTTACTCGGCCCGAGATTTCGGGTAGGCAGGCTCGGTGAGGGCCTGAGGGGGAAGACCTCTACCGTTTTCTCATCTTCCCCCGCGTCAGCATTGCATGACTGGAGAAAAAGTTCATATCCTCAGCCCTACATGGATCTTCATCGGCGGGGTGAGGTAATGTGGCGTCCTATTACCAAGGTAGACGTAGGCAGATGCGACTTTAATGCGGGATGCAGGGAACGAAGGCAAAAACGCAAAGGCACTGCTCGCCACCAACCCCCCCCCCCCCCCACCCCCGTTCTTGGGAAATGAGGAGAGGACTAAGAATGGTACCAAATCACGATACACTCGATTACTCGTTGATGGGGCGTTGATGGGAATATATGTCTTTTTTGCATTTGCTTGGCCCTTCTCCTTCGTGGGAGAGGAGAACCGTCGAGCTATCTACCAACAGTTGTGCGTCACGGCGATTGAAAAACTGTACCCGCCGATCTGTCTGGCAAAGTTTCCCTCCCAAAGTCTCTCGTCTCGTTCCTTTGTATCGTGAAATCATGAAGTCTGACGTGAGTGGATATCAAAAGTCCGAGGCCCAGCGAACAGATAGCAAATCCTGAAAAGGGGGTGGTGGGAAAGAGTTCCGGGGGCAACCCAAGACGAGGTAGACTGGGCATGGACGCCAGGTCTCTGAAGCTTGCGATCAAGCCAGCGATTGTCGGTCCAGCCCTTTTATTTTCCTTCGTAATCTCCATCCCTTTGAGAGATGTGCCGTTCGTCGAGTCTCTGTCTATCTGGAACGAGTAATGGTTATTCTTTTTATTTCGCAATCGTTCTCCACATCATCAGATCTATCCGCCGTCCTCCTCGCCGTGGTTCTTTGGTAGTTACAAGAACGAACGGCGGGGGAAGCTGACGCCCTCAACGGCGGCGTTATCGACAAACCAGCTGACGCGGTCGCCGGCACCCTCGTTGACCAAGGCGCAAGGGAGCCCATCGCCGTGCTCAAAGATCCTCTTCATGATTTCCTTCTTGCCGCCACCAGTGGCGACAAAGGCAATCTTGACGCCGTGGTTCACGACGGGAAGAGTGAGAGTGATGCGCTTGGGCGGGGGCTTGGGGGAGTCCTCGATGGGAGCAACCCAGGCAGTCGTTTCGCGCAGCAGTTCGTGGCCGGGGAACAGACTGCAGGTGTGTCCGTCGGGACCGGAGCCAAGGAGCAGCAAGTCGAAGATGGGGAGACGCACGCTGTCGCGGCTGGCAAAGCTGGTGACGAGAGTCTTTTCGTACTGATCGGCCAGCTCCTGAGTGTCGTTCAGGTAGGTGGTGTCGATGGGGTGGACGGTCGGGGCACCGAGGTCCTCAGGGATCTTGTCGAGCAGCTGGCTCTTGAGGAGAGCATAGTTGGAATCTTCGTGGTCGAGGGGAACGGCGCGCTCGTCGGCGAAGAAGATTTCCCACTTTCCAAAGTGAACCTGGTCTTCGGGGCCGGTGGAGGGTGTGAGCAGTGCCTGAGCCAAAGTCTTTGGCAGCGAGCCGCCAGAGACGGCGACCTTGAAGGCACCGTGACGGTTCAAGCCTGCATTTTGTGCTTGGATGACGTAGGATCGCAGGGCGGGCGCGAGTTCGTCAACCGACGGGTAGGCGAAGAGGTTTGGCTGTTTGTTGCTCATGGTGGGGTAAAGTAAGCTGGAGGTAGGTTGGTGGAAGGCGGAAGGCGGGGGCGGAGAAGTGTGATGTCGGAAGCGAGGTTTACGTTGCGAAGGGGGTGAAGAGGAGGTTGTGAAGGAAAACGGTCTGCTGTCGGTGCAGAATGAGGGGCGGTCCGAAATTGGAGAAGGTGTGCACAAACTCCGGCTTCTTGCTGCGGGATGTACTGCGTCTTGCTGGGCAGGGCAGGTATGCTTGCGTGTTCCGTGTGGTTGGTTGAAAGTTGGAGGTTCAGACGAAGATGGAAGCTTTGAGAGAGCCGTCTGCCGGTCTGCACACGGGAGGGACGTAATAAGGACCGAGGAGATAAGTAGCGTCGGTCTAAGAATCAAGCGGCGGGATGGGTCATGGATGTTTCCAGATGTAAGAGGGCCAAAAAAAAAAAACACAAAAAATAGACCCAAAACCGATAGCGGGGCAGGTGATTGAATATTTTGTATCTGTGTCACCTTTTTTTTTTTTTGTTCTTTTTTTTTTTTTTAATCGGGGCAGAAAGTGCAGCTCACACGGTAAGGTCAGGTACGTATTCGTACACCTTACGTTTGGTACAGAATGGAAGTCGAAAGACGCGAAGAGCACCTCACCTCAGTCCAGCAGCTTGGGCAGGCTACAGTTGAATTTGAGTGTGGCTCGACCCAATTATTCTCTGCCGGCTGTGCTCTGAAGCTTGGGTCCTGCAATCCAAACAATTTGTTTGGCTTAGAGGTCAATGAGGAGCAAGTGCTTGGTGCTTGATGGTTGGTGGTAATAATCTCATGTGAGATAGCGTAGGACGAGGACGGGCGGCTGTATGCGGGCTGCAGGTAAATTTGCACCGTTTCACCATGGATTCGTGATCGAAAACGGCGGGCAAAAGGCAAGTCGAGCCTTAATCAGAGCACCGCCGCGGTACCTCACTACACTCCATGCCTTACTCCTTACCTTACGCAAGTGCGTGTACTGTGTAAAATGGTGGGGTTGCCATGTTTCCAGTGGACCAGCTGTGATGTGGTAATCTGTATCACGAATGCCATTCCTGACTTCGTTGTTGATCTGCCGTAGAGTCCGGACTTTCAATAAGGATATCTTGAGAGCCTTGAGCTGTTGAGTCGCCAGATCACGTCGGTGGTGGCACTCGGTGTACAAGATATGTTGCATTCTTGACAATCAAGAGATGAAGAGTCCGTACCGAAGGCCCTAAAGCTGGGTGCCATGAGAGAGTCAGACTGAGTGATAAATAGTGATTTGTCCGCAAAGCTAACTGTAGTTGTCGTCGGTCCGTTAGTGCTTCCCTAAGATACACATTGATGATTTGCCGAAGCAGCTGCGCTGCCCTCAAGGGGCAAGGAACGATTGCAATTCCGGGAATGGACACTCATTGTCCGGCATGGCGCTGATGCAGCACTACTCTTGTAGATCGACTCGGCGTGTCGGGTGGCTGGTGACTGGAGGATTTAGGGTAATGAGATGACTGAAAGTAGAACAAACTTGGCGGGATGATTGTGTGGCGAACCGAGTCGTCAACCTACTGCAGTAAGAGCATAGCTGGTAGATCTAGCGAAGGAAGGACGACTACGACGGCTCACGGCCCCTAACCGAGCTGTCCTGCGATCGGGACGCAGCGCCGCCGCTGCCTCAGGGCTAGAGCATGGAAGCATCTTGACTTGCTCGCTCGGGTGCATTTTTGTAGGCATCCCGTGGGTTCCATGGATTTCCCTAAGAAACGGCAAGGTTGAAGCGCAACGGAAGGAAGAGCGGAAAAGAGGGATTTAGCCTAAGCACCAAGCACATTGAGGTGGAAGGAACCTGAATCAACAGTATCCTTCCTGCCTTCCTACCGTTCCGCATTGCTGGTCTCAGCGTTCCTGCCGAATCTAATGTGAACTGAGGTAAGGTAAGGTACCTAGAGTAGCACTTGCCCGGAGTGAAGCACCGACTGGTCGAAGGTCCCGGCCTGCCATCTACGGTAGTAAGGAAGGAGACAAGACTAAATGGCAGGTAATTGTACCACAAACTCCTTTCTGTTTTTTTTTTTTTTTTTTTTTTTTTTTTTTTTTTGCAATTTGCAATTTGCAATTTGCGAAATGCAGCTGTTCTACTTTGCAAAAAGTCGCCAAAGTCGGTCCGGGGTGGGCAATTGAGACTGCGAGCATCATTGCAAATGTCATGCATGTCTTCAGCCCACGAAGAGCGAGCGCCAGGCACGATCGCTTCTCGCGCTCCAACAACCTGCCGGAGGAAACGCTCCAGGAGCTATTGGCACGTCCACATGCCCCTCCTCGACCACCTACCTCAAGCACTGCTAAGGCACTGGACCCAAATGCAGCGCGACCACATACCTATCCAAGAAGCATGCCAACTATCAGCTTGTCCACATGCTTCCGAAGCAAACACCATTAGCTCCAAGTCACGCTTTCATACCTACGAGTGGGCGATTGTGGTCGACTCAATGCTCGAAGTTAGTGCTCACCTGACGTGAGTTGCTGATCCAAATTCATTCGCTGTATCCGTATATACCTCAGAATAGACATGACTGACACCATTCGCAGTGTCAACTCCACACTTGTCCATCCAGCCAATCGCCCTTCTGCTAGTTCGTCGCATGCAATGCAGCGCTACGGACAGACATCAGGAAACCGCCTGCCTCCTGTTGGACGTGAGATCGACACCACGATACACCTCAGTGGACGAGACCACCGACTCACCCACGTTGCTACTGTGCTGCCAGCCTTTGGCATGTGCCAGCGAGTCTGGGGAAGACGCCTAGACCACAGGCCCGACCCAGCGCGCCTCCTGCGAACTACCGGCCGAATCCAATATCATAATCAACTCTATTATGCTATTTCCACGTCAAAGGACAGCAGTCCGATCTTTCGATGCCTGGCGTCCTACGGATCACGGGCCACCGGCAAATGCCTGATTTGCAGTATATCCTCAATTCTCCTAAATGCAAGAAATCGCAGTCCAAGTTCCGCGTACCTCTGCTGCGTTACACAAGGAGGCACACGAGGAATAATACTGTCGAGCATCGGTGCCTTATTCGCTATCCAAAAACACATTTGTTATACCAAATCGACGATATACTTCGGTATCCACTATTGGTCTCTGCGTGCCTGTCTCGATGTCGCCAGTGCGGGCACAGGTACAAAGGCTGATGAGTGACATCTCTACAAGTCGATACCCCGAAAGCTTCGTCACCTCTCTTCTGCATTATCACTCACGTCAGCAATAGCATCTGATTCATCTTGAAAAAACTTGACAGACTTTACGAGCCTTTACTTGAACAAGTCCGGAGTGCGTCATTGTTCGCGGTGGCGCGGTGCGTTTGACAGACCCCTGCATGACTCGACAAAACCAAACACCAGGCGGTTGATAAACTCGGTGGATTAAACGATCACAGCCGGTGCAAACTTGACGGTGCATCAGGATGTTGCGCCGGGCATCGATGCATCTCGACAATGACGTCACTGCGACGAACTGACTCGGAAGTCGTCCATCTCCAATTCAAGGGAACCATCACGAACCGCCGGGCGGACGGGGGTTCAGCAGAAACCTGGTCCAGCTACTGCGGGGACGTTGTCGTCATAATGTTGACTCGAAAACCAAAAAAGGAGGGGTGCTGGCGGGTCGCAGCGCTTGAAGTGAAGCGCCGCTTTCTGAAACGGAATCCCGCGATATCATCATCCACAAACGGTCCAGATGTCAATTCTGCAAAATTACACGAGTGATGCTCCGCGTGGGGAGCAACGATCAAGACCAGGTAATCGCCGATGTATGTGTAAGAGGCGTCCGATTTACAGCAGCGCGCTGCAGGAAGTGGACATGATTCACGTCGGCGGTGAGCCCAAGGCCTCGGATCCACACTTGACGGCGCATGCTGTTGGTTCGTTCGCCGCGACCAGGCCGGAGCACGCGGAGCTATTCCCGTGTTTGATATACTACCTACATACGACAATCTCACAGCTGATATCGAGCGACAAACGGTGGGGACCGGGTTGCAGCAGATGCGACGAAAAGTGTCAATCAACTGGACCCTTAATCACGAATGGGACGGGAAGGCAGTATCCTCGGGGCGACCCAGTGCTAGGTAGGGTGCCAGGGCCCTTGCAAGTAAGCCTCATTCTGCGTTTGGCTGCTGCTCCAGCTATCCCTTGCTGCCCCAGATGGCGATCAGGCACTGGCAAGGACCTGTCGAAGAAGCAAAGGACAGGAATAACTCCGGCACTGCGGTAAAAAAATGGAGGCCCCTTTCCAGAATTCGTACAGAAAGGCAGGCAACTGGACAGAAGAGGTATCTGATCGGCCCAGCGGGCGCCAAATGCTCCATCGGCCGCGTCTATTTCTTGTCGATTGTATCAGTACGAACAAGGCACGAATACCTTACTGCACAGAATTGCGCCGGCATGTGAATTGTTACGGGGGAAAAAAGGTTCATGCGGAAGAAACGAGAACCCATAAAAGGCAAAAAAGTCAAAACGGAAATGACGGGATGAAAGCAACGGGGAAACTGGACACTGACGTCACTAGACATGCGGTTCCTTGAAGAGGGTTCCCAGGTCTCTAGCCAATTCGCGACAAGTCGCAATCCCCAGTATCCACGGGAGGAGAGCTCGGGCAAGCGCGTGGTACGTGAGGCTGACAGGGTCGAGTCCACTTGTTGCTGAGTTGCAAAGCCAAGTGGTACGAAACCATGTTTTCACTGCCACTGCCCCGTCTCAACCTTTCATCGAAGGGTCATCTTACCAGGAACCATGGGCCACGGACTCCAAGGCAAATCAAGGGTCGCAACCTATCTGTACATTCAACTTCCCCCCTTGGAGGAAGCAGCATGGGTGTGCGATGCTCTCTCAGCCAGTCACGCCGTTGCGCCTGGCGGTTCAACGTCAAGACGTTCCGGGTTGAATGCGCTTGCGGTCTTGGGAGCGGTTGTCCGCAAGTCACAAAGGCCAGGTAGGGCAGTTTTACCCCTCCACGCGAAGGACCCTGAAGTTCCAGTTTTCAAGGGTCCAGTCCAGAACCCCCCACTTGTCACCACGCACCAACGGACCCCAATCCGCGGCCAATATCCAATTGATGAGTTGCAAATTTCTTCCCCTTCCCTTTCGAGGTCAAGGTCGACGACGACTTGCGTCTGTGTTTAATTTCCATCTTGTTGCCCCCCTTTAAAAAACGGCATACTTGGACGGACCGACCATCAACCAAAAATAGGGTCTCCGTCTTGCTGGGACCAAGCTAAACAAACCGGGCTAGTCACCTCCGGCTACAACTGTCAAGACAGGCAGCAAACGCCAATCGAGGAGAATCAGAGAGAAAAGCAGCACAGGATCAAGCACGACTAAAACGAGAGAGGCATCAGTGCGCGCCATCACCCGCCAGACCAACACCATCGCCTCACCTTCATTTCCGTCTGATTGACGAATAAGGACGCCTTCTTTCCCTCCAGACCTGCCATCTCATTCTCGCCTCTTTTCCTTCATCGGCCCTTTCCCCCCTTCAAATCTACTTACTCTCGCTTCCCCCATTTTTCAAATCCATTTTCCCCGGGCTTTTTCTTTACGCTGTAATTCAACGACTTGCAACGGGTACAGCCCGGGCAGGGTTGCCACAAAGTGGTCTGACCAGTTGTGGGCTTGCCCCGTTCTCTTTGCCAAAAACCCCCCTCTCAGTCGAAAAAAATAAAACAATTAAAAAAAAAAGACCTCGAGACACAACCGCGCGCAGCCGTGTGCCGGGCTTTTTCCTCCTAGGGTTCAGGTTCATCTCACCGTTCCGTTCCCGAGACGGTGTTCCATTAAGGTACCACAACACGTCCGCTCGACTTGGACCTTGAGCCCAGCAATACCAGGATCGTTATTCTCCTCACTGACGTCAGTGTCACTTGCATCCAATTTCGATCTCGATTCATGGGCGGCATCTTCCTTCTTTTACCTTTTTTCCCTTTCTTTTTATCAGTAGCCCAGCCTGCACCTCGTTGGATGCTAGCCCCGAACAGTGCTGCCCAAGCGCTTTGCTACTAGCTTCCTTTTTTTCACCATGTCGACGGCAAGCACCACAACCACGGGCAATGAGTCGCCCTTGGAGGATGAAAATACTCGACGCTTAGAAGGTCTACTCGAGCGTCGCCGACATCTCACGGAGACCTTGATCGACAACCCATACGACTTGATCACTTACCTCGAACGTGCCGTTGTCCACTCTGAATTGGGCTACCCCGACTTGGCCGCCGGCGATGCCTACAAAGCTCTTCTTTTGACCGACGACGTCCTCCACGAGGGCTCTGAGTATCACGAGCAAGCTATCGAGGCTCTTGGATCCCGCCCTCTGGACCCACTACCTATTGTCCTGGACCATGGGGTTCTGTCGAAGCTCGGAAGCGACTATCTGACAGACGAGGCCCGAGACCAAGCAAGCCTCGTCGCTCATGTAGCCAAGCTATCCTCTGTTCGCGCCTTTCAGATTCTTGCCCTCAGTCTTCTATTGTGCGGATGCCTGAAAAGCGCGCACGAGTTTTGCGACCGAGGTCTGCTGATCGCTCCCGAGAACGACGAACTCCTTCAAACGATGGGATACATCAAGCATGTGGCGAGTCGGAGATGTCGCAGAGACGACTTCAATGTCAACGTTCTTCCGGAATGGGGGCTTGTCCGGAGGGAAGTCTACCCCTGGAACACATACGAGCCTGACCGTTTTGCTCCCGAGTCCCTCGAATTTCTGAACGCCGAACTATCAAAGTCTGCACCCAAGTGTGCGGTTCAAGTGTCTAAGCTCCCAGTCCTTTTGGAGGCGGCTAGCGATATGGATGGCTACGATATCATACCCACATGCAATCAGCTGGGCCTCTTTGCGACGCAAGACATTGCGCCAGGAGAGGCCGTCTTGGAAGAATATTCGCTTTTGACCGCCAATAATCGCCTCAAGGAACCAGTCTGCGATGCGTGTAGTGCGGAACTGCCACCGTTGGGCAGCGAGCCGGCCGCTGTCGGCTGCGACGAATGTTACGACACAGTTTTCTGTAGCCAACACTGTCATGATATGGCGCAAGAACTTTACCACCCTGCTGTGTGCGAGAAGGATGTCGACGCCATCGCGAAGGACCCTGAAGCTTCGGAAGCCGATGAAACACTACACCTGCTGCTTCTTGCGCGTGTTTTGGCCATGTCCAACCACCAAGAAATACACCCCTTGGATGTGACACAGATCAAGTACATCTGGGGTGACTTTGTGCCTTCCGCATCGAACGATATCGAGATCTCACCGAGGGCGAATCCGCCGCCGGAATGGACGCTGCCATTCTCGTTCAAGTACAATATCGAGACACCTTTCCACATCCTCGAAAAGATGGACGTCGACATTTATAGCACTATTCAAGAACACGATTTGTGGGTTCTAAATACCCTCTACAGCAAATTCCGCGGAACGGCATCAGCCCGTAAGAACCCGCGCGATGGTCGACCCGATGTCGCTGCAGTACACCCCCTTTGGTGCTTAGCCAACCACGACTGCAATCCGAACGTCACATGGGATTGGGGAGGACAGATGACACTTTGGGCGCGGAAGACAAAGGTTGTGGGCGGCGCTCCAGGAGGGCTTAAGGCTGGTGAAGAGGTCTTGAACCACTACTGCGACGTCACAATGCCCGTCGATCAACGAAGGGCTTGGGCAAAAGGAAGTCTAGGCGGATGGTGCATGTGCCAAAGATGCCGAGACGAAGCTGCTGCTGCCGAGCCGCAAGTATCCTGAACCTTGCTCATCATCGACCGCAAGAATTGAAGACCTACCAGAGACTTGACAGTCTACACTGCCTACTTTCGGCCGGCGATTATTGAACGTCGGAAAACTTGCGATTAGCGAGCGATTTACGGGGACTTAGAGGAAACATACCATTAGAGATTATATCATTGGAGGGGTCGAAATTCGGGGTCGAGGCAACAGGAAGATCCATTTTTACGTCCGTTACCTTAGGTTAGGGATATCTACCTAGGATATGCTTGTACACGGAGCCCCTGGTCATGGACTTGGGGGAGAGAGGAGACATACACGACAAAATAATCGCGAAACGTCCTTTTTTATGCATACTACTGTGGACAATTTCTAGTTCACACACCCCCTACGATTTATCGCCTCCGTCTGTCTTCTATCTACGATACCACCAGGCCTACCCT